GGGAGAAATGGCTTTTTAAAATACATATATATTTAAGTAGAGCGCGTGCCATAACCTATATGCAACTTTCTGCTGCAGACACGGTGCGGTCGCGTTGCGCGGCTGGCCGGTACAAGGTTTGGCGGCAGTTACGGGTGGGGAGGTGAGAGGAGTGTTATGTTGCATTTCGCGGTAAGTGGGACTGGGGTGCCGGGCCGGGGTTTTTCCAGGATCAGGTTCTGGTAGGCAGCAGCGTAGGAGACGAACTGGGAGGGAGTTATGATGAGGATAAAGCTGGCAGGTGGATGTGCGATGTACCGATGGAGAACGAGTTTGCTAGCTGCAGTGGGGTTTCTATGGATTCCGGATTTCCTTGGGCTTCGTAGGCTATAGAATTGAAGCTTGAGAACAGGTAGATTTTACTCTGAATAAACCATGTTTGGTCAGACAGAATGCCGTACAATGCCTTCTGGACATATTTGGAGCTGCTACGACTTGCACCGCACTTGCACCGAGGTTGCCCAGTTGCTGCCAGTCCGACAGCACTACGACCCTGAGTCGGAATTTTTTGTATATATATGTACTTCTTTTTCCAAAAGATAAATTTGAAAATTCACAAAATGCCCACCTTACATTTTTCCACTTCCTTTTTTAGTTTGTCGCACTCATTCTTAGCTGTTTGCGCATCCTGCCGTAGCGCTTGTGTTTGCTCTTCAACAGCTATTGAAAAGCGATCATTATCTGCATGCATTTTGCGCACATCCTTCCGCAACTTCATGATTTCCTCTTGCTTTGCACTGTAAAACAGGAAAACGGTGTATGTACATACACTATGAATTTACTACTGGAAAAGCCCAAATTTAGACTGATCTTACGGGTCAAAACAGCGAGAGATCTACGACAGCCAATTTGTCCCAGGTTTATGGCCTCACATACAACAGAAATCCCGATAGTTATGTGTTTTTGCTTATGTGCAAATGCAAAAACGCCTATTGTGACGATATCGGTGTGTGTGTGTGTGTGTGTGCGTGCGTGTGTGTGTGTGCCTCTGTCCGGATATTTCAACTGGGCAC